GCACAATATGAGTGTGTGATACATTTTAAAAAATCCAAAGATATGTGGTCATGGTTCAGCTTTTAAATATTGAACCACATCATCTTATTAAGGAGATTATCAATAACTGTCATACATTTTTATAACTGATTCCTATCTAATGTAGCTTGGTAACTATTGATATATTGCCCTTTAGGTCATTTAACAGTGTGTTTTCTTCACAAGCCAAAAATTCAACTTACCAATGGAAACCAGTTTGATATGCTCCCTTTCCAGAAACTCCAGTGCCACAGACACATTTTCCAGTTTCATCTGGCGGAAGTTGGGTCTGATGTGGTGCTTTCTGTACATTTTCTTCTGGCTCAAAACCTCCAGGAGTGAAATTAGCTTCAGCCCATCAGTAAATTCCCTCTGGAGATCGGTGATGGTCTTGTTGACGCACTTGAGGTGCTCGTTGCACCACCTGGTGAACGTGTTCTGCTGAATCTTCTTCCAGGGCGCATCTTCGGCCAGGTCCTTCTCCCCGGCTGGCATCTCGTCGTCCTCCTCTTCCCCAAAGTCTGTGGCCTGGTAGTACTGTGGAGGCGGCTGGTCGTCGCTGTAGTTGTTGCTCATCATGGTGGCGTTTTCCGTGTCCACTTTTATACCTCGGTGACACTTAAGTGTTGAATTGTGCGCAGAAAACTTTAGCAGGAGGACGACAAGCGCGCTCTCGCGGAGGAAAGTTCACCCTTTGGAGAGTTCAAAAAGCAGCCTAGAGATTTTTCGGATGTACTTGCGAAGAAACCACTTATGTCAAGACACTGATGGATTAAAACATCCGATGGACAATGGGCAAGGCAGCAGGTCGTCCGCTTTTTTTAATTGGCACCCTCTTGTGAAGTCGTTCCTCTCTTATAGCTCCGAGGAGGATGTCGGTTTTAGAAAAATGAAGTCCCGCGGCAGGTGAGCTTGAGCTGCACTGTTAAAGTTGACTCGAGCGTGTTTAACTTGACTGCTGAGCGAGGAAAGAGTTGGGTATATAAAGGACCCAGGGCCGCGTCACTCAGCCTCTGTGATCATACTCTATAATCCTGGAGAATAAGGGGAGTGGGGCTCGGTTTACGGGGGAGAGGGGGCCGTGATTGGTCAGACCCCAGACAGCGCAACAGTTGCGGCATGCTGCTTATTTTTAGGCGCTCCTATTTGGGCTGCTGGGGGCCGGCCAGGGACTTGATGATTGTTGCGAATGTGTGTCATGCTCAGGATCCAAGTGTCTGAACAATTGAGCTAAGAAAAGAAAGTGAGAGGTGAGGTGGTCCCTCTGTCCCCCAAACATAAACGTTTTTACAGAGGATAAAAGTAAAAGAAAAGTGGAATTGTAAACTCTGAGGCCTTGGAGGGTAACATTTTAAAGGGTTGAGGTCACCCTGATAAAGATGATGAGAGCATTACGTGTGTTTGACAGCTATCTGCCAACCCTGAGTGAAATGCATCTCAGTGTAGACAAGCAAAGGACACTACAAACTCAGGGAAGGTTATGGAAAAATACTTGATATTGAAGAAAAACAGTTTATTTATATATATTATGAATGTTAATGCACCATCAAGCAAAACCGTGGTAGTTAAATATATTGTTTAGTTAATTTCCCAACAACAACTGTGGGTTATTGCCTTTTAACTCACTAAATTCAGAATGTATTGCTCAATTTTCACATTAAAATGCCTGTCAGGCCACGATCATCGTTTTTCTTTTTTTTTTACTTATCAAGAAAGGACAAACTGACTTCGTAAATTGACTGAAAGCAAATTAGTGTCACCTCCAACTGTGTCAACATGACAGGGTGCATTGATCGAAGATGAGGCTGTGTACAGAAATACTCTGAGACAGTCGACAGCCTGCGCATAGTAAAATTGATCATCTGTAAACAAAATGAGTCATTTCCAATAGATGTTGTGTTGCTGCAGGTTCAGGGGCTGACAGGCTGCTGTGACTCAGCAGTCGGTGACACCAGATGCCAGCAGCGACCTCGATGGGAGGTAAGAGTCACTGTGACACATGCTGGAGGCATTCTCAGGACGCTCCGTCTGTGCACTGCCAGGGGTCCCCGTGTTTATCTCCCACTGTGTGATGAAGCACTTTGAAGATTTTCAACCATTTTATGCTTATCAGAATATTTCCCCCCAAAATATATTTGTTTAGTATATGGAAATAAACTTTAATACTGGTATTTCAAAAATGTTTCCATCTTTTAGGGTTGTAAGACATAGATGGTAATAATTCCGTATTTCAAATGAACAAGCCATCAAATTGTACAAGTCCTTTTGATTCTTGTCAGTGTCACTTTGTCATATTTATGTATCCCTGTGTGTGCATTATTTTCTGTTGTAGATAGGTAGTAAGTAAGTGGAGCATCTTACCGTATTACTGGGTAGGTTTATCTAGAACAGCATTATATTTTCTTGGATGATCATACATTCTGTTACAATTAAACTAAGTTAAATTGTTTTGTACAGTAGTTGTTTAAAAACTAGAATGTGCTATTTGCCATTCAAATGCAGCAAAGATTTTTTATTTTAACAGAACTTTTGGCCATTTTATGCCTGTATTTGACAGGAACAGAGTTGGGGTTTTCAAAGTACCATAACATCACATTTCTCAAGTAAAGCAGAAGAACTTCAAAATGTATTTGATTATTCAGTATTTAAGAAAACGCTTCTGTGTGTAAATGATTGCAAAAAAAAGTTAACTAGAAAACAGACACATTTGACTAAATTAACTCAAGTCTCTTTTTTTTATGTGATTTTGATAGCTTTGATTTATCTTTTCATTGATACATACGACATAATCCTAACTTGATAAATCAAATCAAGTTTTATTTATATAGCACACTTGAAAGCGATTTTTGGTCGAGCCAAAGTGCTGTACATGTAATAAAAACACATTACTACAATCACAATAAAAGACAATAATTTACAACAGAAATATAAAAAACAAAAACACAGGGAATAGTCAGGTGTCATACTCCGCTCTGACTAGAAGGCCAGAAAGAAAAAGTGTGTTTTTAGTGAAGATTTAAAAAACCCTAGTGTCCGGGCCGACCTCACATGGAGGGGCAGACTGTTCCAGAGCCTGAGGCCAGCTGCTGCGAAGGCTCGGTGCCCTCTGGTTTTGAGCCTGGTCTTGGGCACTATCAGCAACAGCTGGTCAGCAGACCTTAAAGCTCTGGCTGGGGTGTAGCGATGGAGGAGTTCGGCTATATAGGCAAGAGCCAGCCCATTTAGGGCTTTGAAAACAAATAAAAGGATTTTAAAATCAATTCGGAACCGAATTGGAAGCCAGAGTGAGGCCAGAATTGGGGTGATGTGGGCATGCTTTTTGTGGCCAGTCAGAAGACGTGCAGCTGCGTTTTGGACTAGCTGCAGGTGTTTAATTGAGGCCTGGTCCATACCCACATACAGAACATTGCAATAGTCCAGTCATGAGGTAACAAAGGCATTAATAACCCTTTCTAGGTCTTTAAAAGATAAATACGACTTGGTCTTAGCCAATAGTCTTATTTTAAAAAAGCAGGATTTGACTCCGGTGCTGACCTGCTTGTCGAATTTAAAAGTGCTAGTGAAGGTCACTCCAAGGTTCATGACAGAGGGGAGGATTCTTTCATTGAGAGAGCCCAGAATATCAACCGGAGAGGCTGGAGGTTGGGGTCCAAAAAAGATGACCTCAGTCTTGCTCTCGTTGAGGTTAAGGACATTTTTGCTCAGCCAGGATTTTATCTCTATCAAGCAGTCCATCAACTGCTTGATAGAGATAAAAGTGAGTGTTTGACATTTGCTTTGAGAGGCAGATAGATCTGTACATCGTCGGCATAGCAGTGGAAGGGAATATTGTGTTTAGTGAGAATTTAACCTAGGGGCAGTATGTACAGTAAAAAGAGGATGGGGCCCAGGATAGAGCCTTGGGGAACCCCACAGATAAGAGGGGCTTTAGCAGAGGAGAAGGCATCTGCCAGGTAGGACCTGAACCATGCAAGGGCAGAGCCTGTTATGCCTGCGGACTGTTCAAGCCGTGACAACAGGATGCTATGGTCCACAGTGTCAAAGGCAGCTGTCAGGTCTAACAGCACCAGGACAGCTGGGCTACCTGAGTCGGCGACTAGGAGCAGATCATTAAAAACTCTTAAAAGGGCTGTTTCAGTACTGTGCATAGGTTTGAAGCCAGACTGAGACTTTTCATGGATGCCATTAAGAACGACTGCAGCTGGACATAAGACAGAAAGTATAAAGTATATGTAAACTAAATAAAAAACCAAAGCACAGATTTACATAGACCTTGTCACTGTATACTTGGCATTTAATCCCCAGCCTATGGCTTCTCACACTCAGCCTTCCACGTTTTCTAATTAGCTTTTTCCTTGTTAGTCTATCAGGTGAATCTATTAAATATTTAAGAAGGGATTTGGGGTGAATTTGCTGAACAGATATTCCTGAGGCCAAGGCCCACTTAATTAGGTTTCCCTGGTGATCTGGCACTGACATTAAGACTGTAAAGACTGTTGTATTTATTTAGCCATAACTCAGAATGATACAGAAACCTGATTCAGAATCTGTTGGGAATACTTTACTTTAATATTTAATTTAAAGTGACAGAAGGTTGCTCAATGAGGGTTAAGCTAACTGTACCCCATGACTACGTCGGCACATCCACGCTACTTTTAGTTAATTAGACACACTTGAACTTAGTGACCCATGAGTCCTGGCAATGGAGTAATGAGTGTAATTTAGGGGGCCCATCGACAACGTTGACACGACATTTCCTGCCATCTGTAAGGAGACCATGTCTGTGAGCTTATGTCACGTCTCTGCAGTGAAAGTTATTAATATCCATACAACCCATGAAATGTAATCCCAGCTGAGAGACGGTTGTCACTCAGGTTGACTGGTAGTGACTTCATGAATGAGAACCAGAAATATCCTTAACTCTAAAACTGTGACTGACGGTGAGGACACCATCCAAGAAAAGAAAAGACTCAGACATCACGTGGGGGGGTTATATTTATTTTCTTAAGTCATAACAGTACAAAATAGACCTCGATGTAACAAAATAGCCACTAACTATATTGAAAACCACAATATTTAAAGCAACAAGCTGAGAAACACAGTACAATATAGAAGCTTGTGAAACTATGATAAAGATAATATTCAGGAAATCATGAAAATAATTATAACATTCATACGTACCATTGCAGTCAATGGGAATTTAATTTATATTGCTGATATATTTTTTAATAGACAGTGAAGCATTTTCAGTCCAGTGGCTCATCTTTACCTTTGTTCATTTTCCTAAATAGAAATACAATTGCTCAGGCATTGCTTATCAGGAGTTTGTTTAATGACAAATGTGTCAGCAAAGACTTTTAATTCATTTCTCAATTCAATTGGTCTTTCAAGCAACTAAGGTCAAATGCAATTGAAATGCATGCAATGACTACACAACCTTTCAACAAAGAGGTACTGAAAAAGATTAGCAATGAAAGCAGTTCTGAATAACGTCACCATAAATAAACATTTACACAGCATATAATATGGCTATCAAATATACGAAGCTCTTTCAAAATAGAATTAACTTTCTACAAAGCGAGTACAAATGGATTTAAGAAATATCTCTCCCATAGTACTTTATGTCATAACTATTTACATGGAATACAAAGTAACTTAAATTATATATTGTGCTTCTAAATGTTTTCTAGCATGCTTTTTTTAAACCTTAATTATTTTCACCAAAAAAATACATTTCACAAACATAAACAATAATCAGAGTCCTTCACATATACATATATGTTTTGTATTGACTGCCTTAACAAACATGTCCTGACAACTTCCTATTTAAATATTTTGTAACCATATTAATTGCTAAAATGCCCTCACAACCAACACCAATCGTCACCTCAGTCACAACAGTAGATCAATTTAAGTGTAGCCGAATGTCCACAGGTGTTTATCTGTTCTGCAGTTTGTTACATAAAGTATGTCGTCAGTAAACAAGGAGATGCTGGCGGACATCATTTTACACCGAGTACCTGGAACAACCTGCGATCACCATAAATCTAAATAACAATTCACTAGCCATTTCCTGCTGGAGAGGAACAAAAGCTTATTTCTCCACATTGAAATTATCAAAGATATAACAATATTATAGCTTGATCCTCCTAAGATTCGCTCCCAAAGTTGCTGGGATATCTTTAATAGCACATAGAAAAACTACAGCGAACATTTTGTAAGTGTAACAATGTAGCTGTGGGTGTAAGATAACTGAAATTCAAATCAAGCTGTGGGCAGGTGAGATGAATCAGAAACTTTTGCAGACTTTCTGGCAACTCGGTTAAAGTGATCATTAAATAGGAAAGTAGAAGTCAGACACAAGACAGGAAGTGACCGAGCCTGGAGAAATAAGAATAACATAATGTGAAGAAGAGCTCGCTGCTCTGGGCTTGGATTGACAGTTTTATTACAATTGTTCTCATTGTAACTGCATATCATTTGTGTTAGCAATCGAAAGAACATCAATTTGATATTCCAAAGTTAAGTTTGACAGAATAATGGGGGCAAAATAGTTGGTAATGTTGGCATGTTGTTAAATCATGCAGATTTTGCGACATTCAATCCAGATGCAGAATTTATTCAAAGGAAGGCAACCATTTTAAGTCAAATCGTTCACATAAAATGTCAGACTGCTCTTTGTATTAACATTTAAAGGGCATATGTACATTTCAGGGATTTCAGTGCATCAAATGCCTAGACTCCATGTTCTTCATTATTATCAGAGACATCTATGAACAATATCCAAACAAACAACAAATAAATAAATAATGGATAAATAAACCCAAAACCACTTGGTGTACGTTAAAAATCAAAACCTTCATTTTTATCACATTGTTAGCTAAAAGGAGAGAAATATAATATTCACAGACACAGAGGAGGAGAGACAGAGCACAACATTTAGTGGAGTGAGATCAGTCCTCTGTTGGCTCTCTGCAGGTCAACTCTTCACCGTCCTCAACCTCAAATGAGACTGAGTGCATCATTCTCAGTGCATGTACCTTCCTATTAGCGACAGCCTTTTCTACTACACGGCTGTCAGCTCACTTTTAGAGAATTCCAGTTCAGTGTAAAGACACAGCAGGAGAGAGCTGGACTGAAGCAGACGTCTGTCCCTGTGCAGATGTTGCCCATCCAATCAACATCGGACGAGAGCTCTCAACAAGCGAGTCATCATCAGCAGCACTGCTGTGGCCGCAGTGATAGTCAAAATGGAGTTCCAACCTACCTCACTCCCCTGAAGGAAGACAGGAAAATAGTGGTGTTAAGAGTCAGCAGAGGCTATTCCTCAGGCACAGATAACATGTATTAGGCTAAGGATTAGTTTAATATTTTGGGAAATATGCTGATTCAATTTGTACAGAGTTAGATGATAAAAGTGTTACCATTTTCTGGAACTGGGGATAGGAGGGGATTAGCGTAGTTTAGCATACAAACTGAGGCAAGGGGAAACAGCTAGCTTAGCTCTCTCTGAAATTCAAAAATAAATGTCCTACTACAAGCATCTCGTAAACTGCATATAAAAGTATGCATCCTGTTTGTTGAATCCATACACAAATCGTTTTTAAACCACTTTAAATATGAATTTGTGGTTTAAGGGCGGTTAAATAAATAACCAAGTTTACCCGTCCTCCCAAATGCTGTCTTCATTGATTGTGGTGATACCAAACACCAGAGAGTTACAGCGGCCGGCCCACAATTTACGGCTCTTGGCGCCCCCAAATACCACAAATTGTTGTTATTATATTATTTGTGTGTACAGATTAAACCAACAACATACAATGTGTTAATTACTGAGCTGTGCTAGTAAGTATATATTATAATATTTTATTTTACTAATATTTTTTAGTCTTACCCCAAAACAATAAGTGGAAAATATGTTGTTCCTGTTTACTCTGGATTACTCTGGATTTCGCTGTCCAAAATAAATATTTTGGACAGCGCCAGGCTATCGGTTTACGCCTGTTTCAAGCCTTTATGCTAATTTAGCTAATCCAAAACCTTACTTGGAATCCATTCAAAACCACAAAATCTACATTCACATTTTTATTTTTGTTTGTTTACCTTTCTATTTAATATAGCTTCAAACTCAATCATCAAAAATGTGATCAAATATGTAACAATGTTTTGGAGATCTTCAAACCACCAAAAAAGAAAAAATTGCTAGTATTGTTTTTATGCAGATTTTAGGGCCTTGTTGCGTGAAATATACATTTAAAAAAGGGTTATCGACCTGAACATTGAAGGGGTTTTCTTATGTAATTATTGGCAAAACAGCTCATTTACCAAATATGTCAAACAATTCCTGTAAATCAGTTATTCAGTACCATTCAAGTCATATTTTATTCTAATTAGCCAAACTGCCCACCCGTCCCACGTCCACCTTCCATTAATGTTTAATGTTATTATCTACCTTTATTCACTTCAGGCAAATTTGGCTTTTTCTTCAGTTTAGACCCTCCCATACCAACCACCAATCGGAATTAATTTTGAAAATGTTTTTGTATTAAATGGTCAGTCCATCCAAATAACACAAAAACATATTTTCTTACTTACTTCTGGCAGTGTCGAGCCATGCAGATGCCATGCTCAGGTTTTGAGATATTTTTCCTTCAACCCAAATGAAAGTGAGGTGAATTTTAAAAATATAAAAATCCAATTACACGTCTTAACGTAAAAACAGTATCCTTAATATTCTGGATTATTCACAGAATACACTTTCTCTCTACAGTATAGTACATATAAAAACTGTTTCTGTAACTGATGGTTTCTGTTAAGAATCCAGAGTAAACAGGAACAACATATTTTCCACTTATTGTTTTGGGGTAAGACTCAAAAACTGATATCTCAACACCTGAGCAAATAGAAGCAAAACTATCCGCATAGCAAGATAAGGCCTGGCAGACACTGTGTTTTTATGTTATCAGTGTGTAAGAGCCTTACTTAGCATAATGCATCAGATAGAGATAAGCTCCTCCCATACCTTGCCCTCTGGGACGCCAGCTCCGACAACCAGCACCAGACCACAGCCAATATTACAATCATTCCTATGAAGGGGATGGAGAGAACAGGGTGCTCAGACGGATGGATGAATCTCTGAGGAGGGAATAAAAACAAACACAATACAAGGGGAATGAAGGGAATGAATGAATGGATGGATTGAAGTATCCAAATAACATATAAACACAGATAAAAAGGTGTGACAACAAAACAAATGGAACACCACAACAAATCTCTAAATCAAAAGTGTGACATGGTCTATGACTGTGATATAAAAGGGAGAGGTTTTGATGGAGCGATTCACATTTGCTGTTAAATAAACAAAGCATAACTTTAAGGTGACATACACATCTTCAACTCAGTGTGATAATGTGCGAGCAGTTCTGTGTGGCATTTGTTGGCAGCGTGTGATGTAATGGTGACAAAGAAAGAAAGACAGACATACAGCATGAATGTTGTGACTAGCGTATGGTGGTGTTTTTGTCTCTCTATCCTCATCTCGTAGTTTGTTTTGATGTTTTGCTGATTTGTGATCGTACAGGCTGAGAGGTCATGGACATTCAGAGGACAAGGACAGTATCAGAGACAGGCACGGGTAGACAGTTTGACGCACACATCTCATTAGGCTGATGAAGACAAAACACAGAGTGTAAGTACTGTTTGTTTCTTATAAAACACAAGGGACCATATTACAGTAAAGTATTTAACATTTCTTCAACCACTGGTTTTGTTCTTTGGTTTGTTTTTTAAAGTTTTTTTATAGGAAAATACTTTGTAATTTCCTTTTAAAACTCTATGAAAATCAACTTGCAGAAAGTCTGTCTTGGCTTTGAAATGCAGTTAAATCCCCAGATTGTCCTCGGGTCTGTAAATGGAGCAGTCACACTGTGCTGCGATTGCAAAAAAAGTCAAACCCAGAGGACAAACAAAAGGCATAAGATGGTTAAGATAATGTGGTTCAAACGGTTCAAATTAACAGTTTTGTTTTTCCCGTGAGCATTTGAAAACACATAAAAACTATCCATGCTTTCAAACACTTATTATGCAACACATGATAGTGCGACTCTGTGACTAGAGAAAAATAAAAGGAGTGTTATTGTAAGAACAACTTATTTGATTTTACTGCAAGTTAACTTTCACACAGCACCTTATTAAAATGAACAAAACAGGTCTTAATAAAGTAAAAAGGCAATCTCAACGGTCCTTTCATTACTTTTTCTCAATTGAAAAATATAAAACACCTACAAAGGATTTAGTTATTGAAAATAGGGCATTCTCTGCTTGACGCCTGAATGCCTTTTTTGCAGGTTTTGTATTTGTTTCTGATAAAAGTATTAAAGCATAGCTTTCACACAGAAGTTAGAACACAGACACAGCAGGGGGGATGTTCCCCAGCCCAATGCCCACAGTAAATACTGATATGGGCTGACAGGCCAGGTCAGTTCATATCAAAACAGATGTTTACAGTATGAGACACATATAAAGATTTCAGCAGAGACAGGGTAAAGTAGGTGTGATGTGAGGCGTGTTGGTTGACAGTGTGAGTGCAAAGAAAAAGCATTTTTTAATTGTGAAGTCATCATAGATGTGAATCTCCAAACTATTTCTAGAACATTTTCACATTCATTTAAAATATATTAATTTAAAGACAAAAACACCTGCACTGCAAATCTAACTACAAAACGGACATTAATCACATACTGTATATATAGCATTTACATCAGTTTGCCTACTTCTGATACCAACTGTATGTTATTGTATTATTCATGTCTGCCCCTCACCTGAGCCCCCCCTAGCTTCTGCAGCTCAGCCTTGCAGCGCTGCAGCTCCTCCTCCAGCTCGGCGCGCTCCCTCTGACTGCTGTCGTACATAACCTGCAGCTCCTGGAGCTCCGTCTTCAGCCCGTCACACTGAGGACACACAGGACACACACAGGTCACACTGAGGAGGCACACAGGACACACACAGGTCACACTGAGGACACACAGGACACACACAGGTCACACTGAGGACACACAGGACACACACAGGTCACACTGAGGACACACAGGTCACACTGAGGACACACACGACACACACAGGTCACACTGAGGACACACAGGACACACACAGGTCACACTGAGGACACACAGGTCAAACAGGACACACACAGGTCACACTGAGGACACACAGGACACACACAGGTCACACTGAGGACACACAGGTCACACTGAGGACACACAGGACACACTGGTCACACAGGACACACTGAGGACACACAGGTCACACAGGTCACACAGGACACACACAGGTCACACTGAGGACACACTGAGGACACACAGGTCACACAGGACACACTCTCAGGCGCTTCCCTACAGCAGGGGACTGACTCCATGTATTAAGGGGAGACGCTACAGGTAAAAATATAACTTAGATAGAATCGGAGGAATTAAGCACTCTTTAATGGTCACACATGCAGAGCACACAGCACACACAGTGATATGTGTTCTCTGCTTTTAACCCATCCTAGTACTAGGAGCAGTGGGCAGCTATTGTACAGCGCCCGGAAGGGTTGGGGGC